GTTGTACTTTTAGCTCTTTGAGTTATCTCCATACTACTTTCCATAGAGGTTGTACTAGTTTGCAGCCCTAGGCAAAGAATTTATGAAGAACACTCCAAAGCAATCACAGCAACAACAAAAATAAATAAATGGGACCTGATCAAGTTAAAAAGTTTCTGCACAGCGAAGGACACATTCAATAGAGCAAATAGCCTACAGAATGGGAGAAAATATTTGCATGCTACATATCTAATAAAGGGCTGATAACTAGAATCTATAAAGAACTCAAGCAAATCAGCAAGAAGAAAAATCAAACACTGCCATTAAAAAGTGGGCAAAAGACATGAACAGAAACGTTTCAATATAAGATAGACTAATGGCCAAGAAGCATATGAAAAAATGCTCAACATTTCTAATCATCAGGGAAATGCAAATCAAAACCATAATGAGATACCAATTAACTCTAGTAAGAATGGCTTTTATCAAAAAGTCCTAAAACAACAAATGTTGGCATGGATGCGCAGAGATAGGAACACTTGTACATTGTTGATGGGTAGTTCTATTTTTAGTTTGTTTAGGAATCTCCTTACTATCTTCCACAGTGTCTGTATTCCCACATGCAGCATACGAAATTTTTCTCTTTTTCATACCCTCACCAACACTTGTTATCTTGTCTTTTTAATAGCCATACTAACATGTGGGTTAAAATCTCATTGCGGTTTTTTGATTGGCATTTCTCCAATGGTTGGTGTTGTTGAGCAACCCTTCATGTACTTGTTGGCCACTCTTTTGTCTTTGGAGAAATGTCTATTTATGTCCCATGTCCATTTTTTAATCAGATTGTTTGTTTTTCTGGTATTGAGTTTTGTGTGTTCTTTATATATTCTGGATATTAACCTTTATCAGATATATGGTTTATAAATATTTTCTCCCAATCCCTGGACTGCCTTTTCATTTTATTGATTGTTTTCTTTGCTGTGCAGAAACTTTTTAGTTTGATATAGTCCCATTTACTTATTTTTGATTTTATAGTTAGAGCTTTTGTTGTAATATCCAAAAAATTATTGCCAAGGCCAATGTCAAAGAGCTTTCCCCCTGTGTAATCTTCCAGGAATTTTATGGTTTCACATCTTATGTTTAGATCTTTTATCCATTTTGAGTTGATTTTTGTATATAAGGTAAGACATAGGTCCAATTTCATTCTTTTGCATGTGGATATTCATTTTACCTAGCAATATATGTTGAAGAGAGTGTCCTTTATTTTTGGTGCCTTTGTTGAAAATTAGTTAACCATATATGCCTGGCTTTATTTCTAGGCTCTTTATGGTGTTCCATATATATATGGACCATATATCAGTTTTTAACGAGCCTAGACTTTAAAGAAAGACTATCTGTGTACAAATCTCAGCTCCACTTGATCAAAATTACTTCATTTCTCTTTCTTTCATATTAATAACAACATGATAATAGCATGTAGTTCATGAGTACATATTAAATGAATAAACATGTATAAACAAATAGATTGGCATATAGTTTTTGCTGTATAACTGTTGATTGTTTATTATTATGAAATATTGTTTGTATCATCACAATAATTTTTATGGCATTTTGTATATAGTAGGTGATAATTTGAATAAATGAAATAAATTTTACTTCTTCTACATATTTACTTTGTTTTTTAAGAAATTATTATTATTATTAATGGTCATAGCAAGTGAGGCCTAGCCATGCCATGTTTCTGATCATGCCTTTCTCCCAGACTCCCACATTTGAATGAGAGAGCAGGTGAAAGCCTCTGAATCACATCTAGTAATAGCACATCTGTTGAGGGTTCCAGCAGAGAATTAGATGGATGATCAGAAATGAGTTTGTAAAGGCTGAGTGATTTGTATTTCACCTGACATGTTACATATAGACCAAGCACATAACTGACCTTCTGATTTTCCTTACTCTATTTGTTTAGGGCAAACACTATGTCATATGCTTGGACTTTGAATATTCATCAGTTTTTCTAGGTTGGAGAATCTCAATTCCAGAAGCTTTTTGGTGTATAGGGGATGTTTGTGCACGTGTATGTGTGTGTGTGTTTGGACAGAGGTGAGACTGTGGCTTCCAGTCTGCAGGAGACTGGACAAGCATGTCTAGAGTCTCTATCAATCCATATAATTTTGCCACATATCCACATTTATAGTTGTGGACACTTGTAGCTTGCCTGTGCCTACAGTTGTGGATGGACACTTGTAGCTTGCCTGTGCCTACAGTATGCTGTTGGGAATAATTTAGACTAAAGTTAGCAATACATTTAGGCACTTAAATTTAATGCTAACTCTGTAGTTTATGTGCTCCCAAGGATCACTTTGTGGTCCTCTGGAGTGGAACACTGTGGGTTAGCTGTTCTCTGGTCCCGGTAACTTAGAGGTAAGGTTAGATGCCCCAGCGTCATCCTAGAGAAGAAATTATTAATCAGTATTAGATCGTGGGCCACTTTGAGAAACTGCTGAAAACTATGAACTCTGCCTCCTGGTAAACTTGTGTACTTCAACTCACAGTAAATTTGCCTTAGAATCTCAAGATTTTAAAGATCCCTGAGTTATTTTCACAAATTCATTTCAAGAGATCCAGTAGCATTCAATTGGCTTTATTTTGCAAGAATCAAAATATTAAATGTGGCGTGAATGTAAAACACAAGGAGAGAAGAGAAAGGAGCTGGCTCTGTGAAAATCACATTTTCTTTTGACTGAAGGCAGGCAAATGGCTGAAGAAGAGTTTGAAGTCATCATTTGGTTTCAGCAAAACCTATGAAAATAATGGTAGTTTAGGAATTTAGCACATAGTGTGTTAAAAGTTCTCATGTAGGCTTTTATTTAGCTTATATAATTTTACTCTTATGTCTGTATCCAAGGAGTTTGTCAAATTAAATTTAAATATTTAAGATTGACATATAGTGAAATGAAAGTAATAGACTTCACCTAATATTTGCAGAAAGCAACCTCTTTACCTGCTTCTTTTTTTTTTTTTTTTTTTTTTTTTTTCCCCAGGCTAGAGTGAGTGCCGTGGCGTCAGCCTAGCTCACAGCAACCTCAATCTCCTGGGCTCAAGTGATCCTCCTGCCTCAGCATCCCAAGTAGCTGGGACTACAGGCATGCGCCACCATGCCTAGCTAATTTTTTGTATATATATATTTTTTAGTTGGTCAATTAATTTCTTTCTATTTTTAGTAGAGACGGGGTCTCGCTCAGGGTGGTTTCCAACTCCTGACCTCGAGCAATCCGCCCGCCTCCGCCTCCCAGAGTGCTAGGATTACAGGCGTGAGCCACCGCGCCCGGCCTACCTGCTTCTTTATAAGTGATATTATATAGTGGTTTTAATTTAGAAACTTAGGTTCATGAGTTTTATACAAATGTTAACTATTGAAATAATTATTACTCCATTAAAAACATAATCATGTAATATATTTTAGATCAACAAAATATATAATAACTACATGTTAAATTACTTGCTTTCATGTGTCAACATTCATTTTTTTATTTTGTTTTCTAAAATTTAATAAGCCAAATTTTCTTCCAGCTTATTATCTTCTTCTTAACAGATGTTCTGTTAAATAGCAAGTAAATAACACAATTTACAAATTGATAGTCTAAGAAAATCACGGTGTTTTCTGTTTTTTTCCTGCAAGTTAGCCTATTTGGAATTAGATGACATGGTATATATACTCCACTATCTGAAATTAAACAGGTTTGGTTTGGCTCTCATTTTGTACTTTTTAGCTGTGATAATTTACTTAATACCTTTAGGCCTATTCCTTCTTTATTCCTAAATTTGAGATGGTATTCAAATTTGTTGCATATGGTTGTTATAGGAACCAGCTAACATAATTACATACTGTTCTTATCATTTGGTAAAGACTTAAGGTATAAGTTAAAAATGAATGTTAATATTTATTAATTTTACTTTACCTTTTCAATACATTACACTTTATGGATTGATCAGTTTTTAAAATTCTTTCACGTATGCATTCTCTCTTGAGCCTCACAGCAACCAGAATTATGAGAAAGTAAAAGTTCAGCGAGAATAAGGACCAGACCTTGGTCGTTAGGCAAGAAGATGGAAGAAGTGGCCTTCTCTGGTCTAATGCTAGTTACATATCATATGACAGGCCATTGTGTGGTATTTTAGATCATAAAACGTATAGGCAGTCTGATGGACTGGAAGTATTTGTTGGAAAGAAATTCAAGATTTTGTTAACTTTCTCCACAAATTACCCTGAATTTTTGGCCATTTTCTATTTTATTAATCTTTCTCTTTATTTAACTTCTTCCCATAAGTTTCAAATTATTTTAGGCTCTGTCATTATCCATTGATCCACATAATAAACAGGGATATTTGCATCACACTCAATTTTCTGAAAGCACCGTTTTAATATTTATGTGTTTTTCAAGTTAAGCATGGTAATTCTTCCATGGGTTTATCTTAGAATAGGAGAAATTTGAAATGTCTAACTTCAAGGGTCTTTTCAGAAATGATATCTGAAATAAAGGAATGCATGGGAAATGTATTATTCCCTTCACTATGTTCATACCAAAATGAGAGTATAGGAGCATTATTAGGAAATTAAAATTTATTTAAACTCATATTCTATATAATTGGTTCTAAGAAAATTTATTTTTGAGATAAAAAAATCATGAAAGTGTTAGCGTTTTGCTCTACTGTCATAGTTTGTGCGTGGATAGGGATGAAATAAACCTAATAGGTTTTTTTTTTTTCAAAAAAAATTTGATAACAAAATCTCCAATTTTCTTCATTTTGTGAAATAAATTTTTTTTTCTTGGAACAGACCCTAGTGTTATAGCCATGCTGTGGTTCTGCCAAATCAAAAATGTAAGTACCCTATTTTGCCTGTTCCCGTTAATTGGTATTGTTTTGAAATTTATGATTATATTGATGAATCCATGTTTCTTTGGATTGTTCATTTTATTTTTGCTCATTTACCTGTTGTCTTCTTTGATGTTTCCTTAGTGTTTTTATGCCACGGTTGAAGTAACTGGGACTGCAGTAGTCTCTGGGGTGCTTGTGGTGATGGAGTCTGAGGAAGTGAGGTACTGTGAGGAAGTGATGGACTCTGAGGAAGCTTCCGGAAGGACTACGCTGTTCACCACTGGTTCAGTGGCAAGAATTGGTGTAGGCTCAATAGTAGCAGTGGTGGTGATGGTGGGGATGGTTGTTTTAGCCTCAATTTTCTTTGGAGGAATGGCAAAAAGTGATGCATGTCGGTGTGGGTGGCGTGCCATGGTGGGTGAGTGAATATTTGGCAGGACTTGCTGCTGAGGAATCTGGGCATGTGGCATATATACAGCTGGTTTTGCATAATATGTGTGAGGCATATATGGACTATTAATCAGTATAGCTGGTCTACGTTGGTAGAAATTTGGTTCATAATGAGGGTAGCTATTCAGCATATAAAGAATTGGGACATATGAAACTGTTTTCTGATTGAACAATCTTTCATTATTCTCACGGCACTGCAAAAAGAAATAAGTTATGCAGAATAATATTACAAACCTGAATGTAAAGATATCTTCAATCAGCATTTTTTGAGATAATATAGTATTTGACATTGAGAAAGCACTATATTGGAAGTAGTGAACCCAGAAATTATATTATTTTACAAAGTATGGATTTATACTTTTCCCTTCTACTTCATGATTTTCAATATTATAAACTATTTTCAATACTATAAAAATATTTGCTTCAGACAAATTAGATGAGGTAATTCATAATGTAAACCACACTGCCCAGAGTTTGGCATATGTATGATAAGTGATCTAAGTACAGAGTCTAAAAAACTCAGGGAGAACTTTGACATGTAATACACATGTGGACACACATGATCACACACATATACATATGTAATCTCACCACATATTTGTAATTTCACACAGATTTTAGTAATCTGGAGATTAGTCCGAATGCACATTTGTTTTTTTTCTAAGTTAATTACAGCATAATAGTAAAATACTATGATGTGGAGGGATTTCTGGATTTAGACTTTGGATTTTCTTTTCAGTTTAATTTTCTCCACAAAGATCAGATAGGGAGTTTCTATTTTTATCTGCCTGCGTTCTATCAATTACATGTAGCCATAAAAATTTGTTAGTAAATTTTTCATATGAATAGAAATAAATCAAGAAAATTATGTACAAAGCTTCCATTTCTCAAAAAAAGAGACATATTTAAAGGTATTCAAACATGTGGGAAACAAAAAGGGGAAGTAAAAACAAGTGTATGAGAAGCATTCAAAAATGAGTCAGAGAGGAATCTTTTCCTGAATTTTAAAAAGTGGACAGAAGAGATATTAAGCTTTACTTTTGTTTTCATTTTTTCCCCCAATATCAATGCTAAGGAAAAAAAAAAAACCTTTCTCTTGGTCTGATAGCCTTAAAACATGGCATGTAATTCAAGATAATACCTGCAGAGATAATGCCTATAGAGAAAATTTATTTCTCTATAAAATAAAACAATATATTTCTCATATTGTTAAATATACATGAAAACCAAAGATACATGAGTTGGGTTATGCAATGAAACCAAGACTTTCAGATGAACATCAAGGTTAATTCACATTATCTGTTGCTTAAGTGATTTTGTTTTTTTTTGGCAAAGATTATTAGATTACTTTATGGAGAATAATTATTTATTTACTTTTGAGACAGAGTCTCTCTCTGTCACCCTGGTTAGAGTACAGTGGTGTCATTGTAGCTCACTACAAACTCAAACTCAAACTCAAACTCAAGCTATCCTCTTGCCTTAGCCTCTCAAGTAGCAGGGACTACAGGTGCATGCCACGTTGCCCAGCTCATTTTTCTATTTTTAGTAGGAGGCTAATTTTTCTATGTTTAGTAGAGACAGAGTCTTGCTCTTGCTCTTGCTGAGGCTGGTCTTGAACTCCTGAGCTCAAGCAATCCTCCTGCCTCAGCCTCTCAGAGTGCTAGGATTATAGGTATGAGCCCTGAGCCCAGCCTTACATATTTAGTTATTAGATAGAAGGCACTTTAATATGATTGATTTTTTAGAATATTATATCTTAGAATTCATATCTCTAATAGAAATAATTAAAATAAACTTACTGCTGATCGTTCCTGGTTTTGCACCACTGCAGCCTGGGGAGTTCCAGAAAAAGAAATAATAAGAAATAAGAAACAAAAAAAGGAAAGCACACTTGTTTTGTTTTGTTTTGGCTTAGAAAAATACCTTTTGTCTTAAAAACAAAGCTTTTTTTGTTTTCATTTTCATTTTTTGTTTCTTTAAGACAGAGACCCCCTCTGTTGCCTGTGTTAGAGTGCAGTGTTGTCATCATAGCTCACTGCAACCTCAACCTCCTGGGTTTAAGCGATCCTCTTGCCTCAGCCTCCCAAGTAGCTGGGACTACAGGCGCACACAACCATGCTGCCTGGTTAATGTTTGTATTTTTTGTAGAGACAGGATCTTGCTATGTTGGTTAGGCTGGTGTGGAATGCCAAGCCTAAGGAATCATTCTGCCTCAGCCCCCCAAAGTGTTGTCATCCCAAAGGATTACAGGCATGAACTGCCTTGCCTGGTCCCATTTGAATATTTTAAAATATTTTTCATGATTATTTAATCTATGAGGCCTGCGAACTAATCAAGAAGCAACAGCAATCTACTGATTAAAATAGTAATAATGAACTTCATATTTAACTTGTCCTTAAATATCACCACCCACAAAAAAAAAAATTCTCTGTTGAAAATAATCTGATCATATGACCTTTTTGCCAACAAATACACATATTTTCTTAAATGAAAAATATGGATAACCTATAATCAGTTTGTACTAAATATATGTTGTTAAAAATTAGAGGAGAATTGAGCATATTTTCCTTTGCTCTCATACCATGATAATTCATGACGTTACTTAGAAGATTTAAAATATTGCTTCTTGCATAACCTTAATATATAAATGACATATAAATAATAGTGTTTTTAAAATCATCTTTCATTTGTTTTTATAGTTTTTTTCTTAATTCTGGATTGTAATGTGCATAGAAAATCAAGAATGTGGAAACAATTTTATAGACGTGCATATATAAAGCTTTGAAAATCTCCCAAAGGTTTTATAAACTTTTGAGATGAGATGATAATATTAAATATTCTTAAATTGACAGTTCTAGTTTAGGATATTTCACACATATTCCTTGGGTATAAAATGACTCTAGAAACCTTTTGGAAGCTGTGGGTGTGGAAAAATCATAGATTTTATAAGGGAATAAAATTCAGGGTGTGTTGAGACAAAGACTTGTTTTTCTCTAAATGTATTAAATCATTAGTTTAAAATTAAAATAAATAAGTATTATAGAAACTTTATCTATAATCAAAAATTTTTATAAACTAAATACTTAAAACAATATCAACCTATATTATATATTCCCACTATCTGCTTGTATAAAAAATATCCTGCTTTTTCTCAAGAAACATGATCTATTATGTCTCCATTTATCTCATAGTTTTCATACTGATATTTTTATGGTTGAAAAATAAGTGATCAATGATTATGTCATGAAATGTTTCTTCTTTATTGTTATCTACTTAGGATAAAATTTTAATTATAGATAGAGAGATGAATAACATCTGTATACCAATGGTCCTTTAATAGTTTTTATTGATTCTTTAGTTTTCCAAAAATATGACTGGGGACAAAAGTTCTTTGATAGGAATTATCAAACTGTTTTGCAGAAAAGTTGTGCCAACTTATAATGCTGTGAGTTTGTATAGTTGATCATATAATTGCTAGTAAAAATATTATCTTAACTATTTTTATTTGGGGGCAAGGTGATAAATTAGCACCTAAAGGATGGTATCACAGTGTTGATTTCATTTGTGCAATTTTGACTACTCATAAGATTGAGTGGTGGTAAATCAATAAACTTTAATTTTTATTTCGTGTTATTTGTTCATGTCCATGGGACTTGAGGCCTTTGTAAAATGTGGGGTGCCTGGGGGATAAAGTAGTAGGCACAAGAAGCTCAAGAAGAGGTTGCAGAAGAGCAGGTGGTTGTGGATCATTTAAAGATGTAAATTTTAACTGCTACCACTCAAAGAGAAAACCAAAGTTCCAAATGTGCAGGTGGCCACCAATAAAATGTAATTCCAAAGAATAGATGACAGAGAAGAAATGCAAAAGTTATAGTAATTAAAATTTTTAAAAAGTAATTTTGACTCCAAGAATTTACCTAGTAGAATTTTTTACTAGGTATTAACTTTAAAACCAGTCTAAACTTAATAATAACTGAATCCAGAAACAAAGACTAATGTCCTCCAAAATTTTACAGTCAAGGAGGGAAGACATAGACTGTTGTCTCTGTTTGCCTCCTCTTTCTTGCTGTTGGCAAATACAGTTCCATGAATTCCTGGATGAATGTGAAAATAAAACATGATGATAGCCAAAACAGCAATGAAAACAAGTCAAAAAATTGTAAGAAAAAAAAACCTTTTTCTTGGTCTGATAGCCTTAAAAAATGCATGTAATTCAAGATAATGCCTGCAGGCCTTACAACTGTTTAGGGACATGGATCCCTGGAAAGGCCTAATAAAAGATAAAATAATTATCTGAATGTTAAAGGTAGAAAGAAGGGTCAAGGTCTTTGAAACTGGTGGAAAAGCTTAACCAAACTCCTGATCTTTTCAGGATCTAGTTCCTAAAGAGACTGGAGTCTGGGTGAGATAGAAATTTAATTAACATAATTTCTGATTCTAGACTATGATTTCTGTATTTATTCTTATGAATTATCTTTAGATTATTTTATAATTTAAAAATATTTTCAATATCATTTCCCCCCAATGTATTTTCTCTATAGTATGAGAATTTTAAAGGTTTTCTATACATGAATGTGATTTCTTAATTCATCAGAACTAAATGGATATCCAGAAGAATATGATTTTAATTTCATAATAGAAATCAATATCAAGATAAATTTACTTTTAAGGAAATATAGCAAGTATGCAGCTATTTTGTTTTATGAAGTGCAACTGCATATAGAAATTTGCATAATTAGAACCCTTACATAAAAGTTTCTTAAAGTCTAAATAAAAATTTATTATATGAAATTAACTCACCAAAAAAGGCAGGGTTGATACCAGGACATTCACAACTAGAAGAAAATGCTTCATTATTGCACCTAAAAATAAATTTTAAAAAATTAAAAGGATTATTTCTAACAATTTAGGAGTGTTTTGGATGCAATGTTTGCTTTGGTTAAGAAAAAAAAAAGTAAATTTACAGGTAGATTTAGCCAATGTGAAAAATCTATTTTAACAAAAGTGTGAGAAAATCAAACTTGGGGTAAAAAAAATTTTGAATTTAATTTTTGACAATAATAATGGAATTATCATTGCAAGTTTAATTATCTACTCATTTAATATATACCAAGAACCTACTAGGAACAAGGTACTATGCCAAATGTTGAGATTATCAAGGTTAATCTGATACAAGTATCATCAATTTAACAAGCCAAATTTTTATCCAGCGTCTTTTCTTAACAGATGTCTTATTAAATAGCAGCTAATACAAGTTACAAGA